ATATATATATATATATATATTGGTCTCTGCCCCTGGTTCCTGCCCCAGAGCTCTTAAAACACTTGTAATTTCCTAAATGATAAGAGCACTAAGAGCATCATGTGTTTAATATTCAGCTTTTTAAAATTTTGGTTCCTGACCAGAGCTCCTAAAGCCCATGGAATTTCCCAAGTGATAGGAAATTCTTCTAATGGGGGATGGTCACCAGAAACACCTATTAGAAGTACTGTAATAACTGGACTTATAATTTGGAGGTGGGAGGGGCATGGCACAGTCTTGGGGAATGTGCCCTTAACCTGTGATATCTGATGGTTTCTAGGTGTAGAAAGTGTCAGAACTGAGTTAAATTGTAGGAAACCCAGCTGGTGACCCAGATTTGCTTGGTTTGGGGAAACCAAGCAGGTGTCAGAAGTGTTGACAGTGGTGGTAGTGTGAGAGCAAAGGAAAGATATAGAAGTGAGGTTTTCTTTTCAGGTAGAAAACTAAACTCTCATTTTCTAGAGCTCTGCTATGCAATACATATGGCTATTTAAATTGACAAAAGATTAAGTAAAATCAGTTTTTCCATGTCAGTATCTAGTGACTACCATTGGACAGTTCAGAATAATTCCACCAATGCAAAAAGTTTTATTATGCAATATTCTAGAGGAGGGTTGGCAAACTTCCTGTAAAGGGCAGGATAATATTTTAGGCTTGCACACCACATAATCTCTGTTGTAACTACTCACCTCTGCAGTTGTGGTGTAAAAGCAGCCATAGACAACATAGCAATAAGTGAGCATTACTATGTTCCAATAAAACTTTACGGGCTCTGACATGAGAATTTCGTAACATTTGTAGTGTTGCAACAAAAAATTTGCCCCCAACCATTTTAAGCTCAGGGTCTTTCAAAAACAGATGGCAGGCCCTGACCAGTGTGGCTCAATTGGTCATTGGTTCGATTCCTGGTCAGGGCATATACCCATGTTGCTGATTTGATCCCCCTGTCAGGGTACATATGGGAAGCAACCGGTGGATATCTCTCCCTCTCTAAAAACCAATAAAAACATTTAAACAGATGGTAGGCTAGAATTGGCCTGCAAGTTACAGTTTACTAACCCCTGTTCTAGAGAATGAAATTCAGGCCTTGAGACTTGACAGGGTCAGGGTTAATACCAATGTATGAAAAATTCCATATTGTTAATACTTTTGCATTATAGCAAACCTTTACCATACAGCCTTCATCTTTTAGAGGACTAAGATGACTTCAATAGTTCTCCTCTTTTAATGGACACCTAAGGAAGAGGTCCTAAGAACGGCAGTCTTGAATTCCAGCAGCGCCTGATCACAGCCTCAGTCCTTCATAGTGAAATAGAAATGGCTACGCCTGGCCAGAGTGGCTTAGTTGGAGCATCATGCCATGGACCAAAAGTTTGCTGGCTCAATTCCTGATCAGGTACATAACTGGGTTGTGGCGGGGAGAAGGCACATAAGGAAAGCAACCGATTAATAGTCCTCTCCTCCACCCCCACCCCCACCCCCCAATCTTTAAGCATGTCCTCAGGTGAGGATTTAATAAAGAAGATCCCACCCTAGCTGGTTTGGCTCACTGGATGGAGCGTAGGCCTGCGGACTGAAGGGTCCCAGGTTCGATTCCTGTCAGGGGCATGTACCTTGGTTGCAGGCACATCCCCAGTGGGGGGTGTGCAGGAGGCAGCTGATCGATTCTTCTCTCTCATCGATGTTTCTAACTCTCTATCCCTCTCCCTTCCTCTCTGTAAAAAATCAATAAAATATATTTTTTTAAAAAAGAAGATCCCTGGCCGGCATGGTTCTTGGTTAAGAAGGGTCTCAGGTTTGATTCCGGTCAAGGGCACATACCTGGATTGCAGATTCCCTGCCCCGGTTGGGGCTCAGGGGAGGCAACCAATTGATCTGGCTCTCTCACATCAATGGTTTCTCTTTCTCCTCTCTTCCGTTTCCCTTCCCTTACACGCTCTCTAAAATTAATGGGGAAAAATGTCCTCCAGTGAAGATCAACCAAAAAAAAGAAAGAAATGGCTTCTATGGAAAGGAGAAATATTTATATATCATGAATAGCCAGGGTTTAAAATATGGGATCTCAATTCCTCTGAGCATCCAGATTGTCCTGACCATGGTAACGCTACCCAGGTGCAAAAAGAGGCCCCTGTGTTGGTACTTGAAAGGGGATAATTTACTTGGTACTTGTGCTTGTATTTAATACCTAAGAGGTTTCAATGACTTAATCATGCACATTATGATAATTTTATGGTATTTGCTACTTGATAAGTGAAGTTTGTCACCCATTACTCCTTGTTGACTTGATTTTCTTTATTTCCTGGTGAGCCTAAGATGAAGTAAAACATTTCAAAGTAGCTTTTTATTCATTCCTTCTCTTTCCCTATCATCTTTTTTCCCATGCTGCAGTGGAAACTGAAATTGGACTGGCAGGTTTACTGGTCTGTAAGTATTCAAGCCGCCATAGGTAGCAGTTAGTAAAGACAAGTGCCCCTCTTTGTTGCCTTGCTCAAGTTTCAAGTTTAATATATCATACTAGAGGCCTGGTGTACGGATTTGTGCATTGGTGGGGTCCCTCGGCCTGTTTTGCGGGGATCAGGCTGAAACTGGCTCTCTGACATCTCCTGAGGGGGTCCCAGATTGGGAGAGCATGGTTCTCAGGTTACATACTGCAGCTTGGCAGCTCCTGCATTGAGCATCTGCCCCCTGGTGGTCAGTGCATGTCATAGCTACCAGTTGGACGATCGAACGGCTTAGGCTTTTACATATATAGATTAAAAGGAAAAACTAAAGCAGGATGACTAGGGGGCCCCAAGCATTGAATGCTATCCTGCGGCTTGTCAATAATTTATTTTCCTTTCAGGGTTGAAAGAACTGTCAATGGACTTTTGCATTGACATTTCTGATTGCGCCTCAAATTTTAATCAGGAAAACAAAATTTCAGAGGAATACATTCTACAGGCTCCAAAGGGACACTAAAAGGAGGCTCACTGCCTGGGCATTTACACAAAGGAGAAAACCTTATAAGAGCAATTAATTAAGAACTTTAAAAAGTGACAGTGACTCCTGTTAATCTTGCTGCTTAATTGGGGCTTTAAAAATAGCTTCCAGTTAATGGGCCTGTCAATATTCTCTTGGGAAACAATTTCACTGACTTAATCAGTTATAATACTTAGACTGTCTGCTTAAAAATATCTTTCTCTTTATTGCTATTTTAACGAACCAACTTGGTGGGTCATATATTTGTCCATTGAATATCTTAAGGCCTGGTTTAAAGGGGCCCTCTTACTTTGCCCCTCCCAATTCTCCAGTAAAGGGCCTTTGGGGTGTGAGAATGTTCTATACTGCTTTATTACCTGAGAAGGAGGTGGTAAAATGGACCTTGAAATTTATTTTATTTCAGATTAGTTACAGAAAAGTTGTGACAATAGTATGAAGAATTCCCATCTACCCCTCATCCAGTGTCCCCTAATGTTTACTGTTTTACAATAGTATAGTACATTTGTCACAATGGACTAATGGATACAGTATTAACTAAAGTCCATACTTTATTCTGATTTCCTTAGTTTTCATCTAATGTCCTTTTTCTGTTCCAGGATCCCATTGAAGATACAATTAGTCATCATGTCTCTCTAGGTACCTCTTTGCTGTGACAGCTTCTTAGACTTTCCTTGTTTTTTGATGACCCTGAGTTTTGAGTCAGGTATTTTGTAGAAAGTTCTTCCGTTAGGATTGAGTTTTTCTCATTATTAGGTTGGGGTTAAGGGATTTTGAGGAAGACCACAGAGGTAAAGTGGCATTCTCATCACATAATCAAGAATACATAATATCAGCATGATTTATTACTATTTAGAAAAATGATTTTAGTATGTTTTTATTGATTTTTGAGAGAGAGAGAAGCTCAATGGGCTGCCTTGAGCCTGCAACTCAGGCATGTGCCCTGACTAGGAATTGAATCGGAGACCTCTTGGTGCATTGGACGACACTTAACCAACCAAGCCACACTGGCCATGGGGTGATTTATTACTGTTGATCTTAGCCTTGATCACCTGGCTTGGGTCTTATTTGCCAGTTTTTTCCATTGTAAAATTCCTCCTCTCTATCCAGTACTGCACTCTGCCATGAAAGTCACCGTGTGCAGCCTATACTTAAGGAGAGGGAAGTTTTGCTCTCCTTGGAATTTTTCAGAAATAAACTGGTCTTTTTCTCCTCCATTTATTCAACTTATTTATATCATTATGGACTTATAGATATTTACTGTATACTTGGGGAAATAATCCAATAATATTTTTTTTGTTCAGTTGTTCCAGCTTTGACCATTGGGAGCTCTTTCAGTTCACTCCTGTGTCCCATCAATATGCCCCATCATTGTGGGGTTATTGTTATTTTTTTAAGGACTTCTCATTTTATGGCACTATAAAATGCTCCAGGTTCATCTTATATAGTTCCTATCTCAATCCCAGAGTGAACCATTTTTTTAATGGGCCCTAGTTCCTTTATTATTTAATAGTATTAAGGAACTAAGATCTGGGTGCTCATGGTAGAACTATGAAATATATATGTTTATTAATATATATGTATACCAGGATCCATAGTTCATTGCTTCCTATATTCTATATCATTTTATTTTTTACTATTCAGTGCATTTTGTCCCATTGTCTTTGATTATTCTCTTTCATCTGGAACAGTGAGCCTATTGCCTTTTATAGTAGATGCTGTTGACCCCAAGTGACTGATAGTTTTTACCCTACGAGCTCACAGTAGAGGATGGGAATTTTTTTTATCAGCTGCTGGTCAAAGGGAGGAGCCAAGCCCAGGCCTTAGTATCCTAATGAGTTAAAGGAGAATGGAGATGCCCTCAAGAAACAGAGCTTCTTGAGTTAGAATCATGGCTTTACCAGTGTGGCAGATAGAACTTTTTGTCCTCTTCAGTTGTGATTCTCTAGAGAAGAGCTCAAAGGGATTAACAAATGTTGTAATATGCTGGCCGTCCCAGGCAGTGATGGGTTGGACATGAGGCAATGAACAGAAGAAGGAAAGGACAGAATAGAAAAGTTCTGTCCCAGCTTATACTACTCCCATGGCATTCTATCCTTTTCTACACTGGGCTTCCATTTCTTGCCCCTGTAGCACCCAATCATAATCTGTTTCTTCACGGGACTCTTCATATTAAATTTCTCAGATCCCTAAACCCCCTCATCTTTGTATAATAGCTACATGAGGGCGATTGAGGAAGAGACAATAACCTATGATAATTAATCATCTTGTCAGAAGACTGGTCATTTAACTCTTACCCTTTTGTGGCTTTTATCAACTGAATCCTATGCTAGATAGTGGGGATAAGTGATGAACCAGACACTGTCCCTACTTACCTTAACATGGCCTGTCAAATCTAGCCCATAACTTTCCCACCTCATCTACCACCTTCAGATTTCCTTCTGGTCACACTGGTTTCTTTTAGTCTTGGTTTATCTCACTCCCATATAACTAAGCAGCCTCAGTTCTACTGACAGCTAACTAAAGAGCCTCAGCTGGTAATATTAATATTTATGTGTTATAATGTACCCTAGAGTAAGGCCATAAGAATATCCTGTTTTTCAATAATACCCAAGTAAAAGTAATGAGATTGCTAGTTTTCTTTAAAAGTTTTTTGAAACAAAAATCTTGAAAACAAAGGTGTCAGATTTCCAAATCATTTGCTAGTGGACATTAAAAGATAGAATATAGTGTACAAATATTTGAAACTAAATTTAGCTTCAAAAAGTACTTAATGAAAATAATGGGCTTGCAGAGGATTTGTTCAAATTTGATACATCCATTAACTAAAATATGTGGGCTTTTGTGTGTTTTTGGGGGGGGGGGTAACCTGTAAATGTCTTCATAGTTAAGAAAATTTGTGAAACATCTTTGTGTATAAGTTATAACTGCAGGAGATGCCAAGATAAGACTTAGAACCAGATTTAAATGGATAGTTTTAACATGTTCACTCTGGGGCTCTATAAAAATGAATAATCTTTGAAACTATGGTTTTGTCATTTTAGGATTTTTTATGTAAATATTCTTCAGGATATGTGGCAACATAGAATATTGACAACATTTGCGGTACATTGACTGTTCCAGAACTGCTAATAAACTCATTCTGCACATCTCTTAATCTTCGCAACAGCCCCCCAAAGTAACACAGTTAGTGGATCCAGGAACTAATGTGGTGTTCAGTGATTCTCCCCAAAGATGGCAGTTGGTTTAGGGCTTTCGTGTATAGTGCTCCCAAGTCTTTACAACTAACTCTCATAAATATCTACTTGTCTTTGTCGTCATCAACTCATTCAGACTAGCATCTTTCAGTGTCTACTGAAATATCTGTCCTCTAGTGTCTTTACACCTATTACAGATGCCAAATACTTTTTTTCAGGCCATTAGCATCTTAGCCACTCTTGCTGCAGCTTTGAGGACAATTCCTTTTGCTCTTAACATACACAGAACGTATACAGACATACCCTTTAGCCTTTAAAAGGAGTCCCCATCTACCTTATTCTTTTTCTTGTACATACCATCCATGAACCACATACCCATGAGTCTCAGGTTTTTAAAAATGTCCCTCTGGGGAGTCTGAATGGGTCACACATCCCCATCCCTATTCTTACCCTATGGTAGGGCTTATCACTTCCTATTCCTTAAGAACTTGCCCTAACCGGTTGGGCTCAGAGGATAGAGCATCAGCCTGTGGACTGAAGGGTCCCAGGTTCGATTCCGGTCAAGGGCATGTACCTTGGTTGTGGGCACATCCCCAGTAGGAGGTGTGCAGGAGGCAGCTGATCGATGTTTTTCTCTCATCGATGTTTCTAACTCTCTATCCCTCTCCCTTCCTCTCTGTAAAAAATCAATAAAATATATTAACAAAAAAAAAAAGAACTTATTAGTATTTAAGAGGATAGGAGTGAAGTTGGGTTCCTTTTTTAGTTTCACATATATACCTGCCAGATTAAGGGATAAAAAACTTTAATAGGTACACATTACAAACAAACCATTATGTAATATAACACAAGCCATTTCTAGATTTAAGAATACATTGAGGATATTTGCAATTAATCTCAAAAATTACATGATCTCCCTATAATGCTAACATGGCGTTTGCTAAAGTTGCTAAGAGTCAAGATTCCTACAAATGAGATCTTAAATGGTAAGCTATACCATGTCCAAGAAGTCTCAGCATAATTCTCCTAGAGAAAACTAAGATATTTAAAAACTGAATAAAAGTAACGAGTATTTTTGGAACTAGTCAAGTTGATTCTAACACGCATTATTCCAAAATAATATTGTGGAAAATGAGTCAAAGGAAAAGTAGCCCTACCCCATGTGAAAACTGCAAGAAGAATAAAGTGAGGTGGTACTGACACATGAATATCAATGAATGGAACAGAGAAGTCCAGAATAGATCCTGAAACAAGTAAGAAAAATAAGCAGTTTTTTTTCTCACAATTGTGTATTAGCTTGCCTTCTAAGAAAAGCAGAATGAATACATAAAAGGGACAGATGTGACTAGATTTTAAAGATTGTGTGTGGAAAAGCACCATACAAGAATAGGTTTGCAGGTAGGTGTTTGCCAAAGATTATTCTTTAATCCAGTTTCTATAAACTGAAAGCTCAACAACCGAATAGATAAATGGACAAAATAAACAGTTGGAGGATGATTAACCTCAGTTAAAGCAATCAGATTTTTCAGACAGCTCTGGATAGCGGTTATCAAAGGAATGGGGCAACAGGCACTCATTTGTTGAGTAAATTGGCATAATCAATGAGGGCAATCTAGTTTTAAAACTCTAAGCAATTCCAGTGTAATCAAAATATTTTGTGACGTAAAAATTATATATTCCAATTTTAATGTTAACACAGTCACTCATTTATTGACCAATTATCTGTGGCTGCTTTTTCTGACAGACCATATGGCCCACAAGCCTAAAATTTCATTTGTCCCTCTACAGAAATTTTGCCTGCTCCCTGCTCTAGAACAGCACTATATAATAAATATTTGCAATGGCAAAAATGTTCTAGCTATCCACTAGCTAGCTATATGTAGATAGTAAAATTGCAAAAGGGAATGCAGCTTATGGCTATGAACAATGGAATAGCTCTAGAAAACGGGTTATTTTGAACCACACATAGTTTTACATGTTTTGAGTAATAAGTACATTAATTTTTTTCTGTTACTGCTTTGAATAGCAGAAAATTGGAAAATACCTAAATTGTCAATTGAAAGGATATTGGTTAAATTTTGTGACCATCCATATAATGGAATACTCGGAAGCCTTACTGAAATATAACCAAAGAAGTAAAGCAAGAACAATGTATGACCTTTAAGCTTTGTTTAGTGTATCACTGCAACAGAACCACCTTAAAATGTGCTAGTACAAACAAGTATTCTATGAGTTGAGCCTTGGCTGGTGTGGCTTGGTTGGGCTTCTAGAACAGCTATATAATAAAAATTTGCAATGGCAAAAATGTTCTAGCTATCCACTAGCTATATGTAGATAGTAAAATTGCAAAAGGGAATGCAGCTTATGGCTATGAACAATGGAA